AAGAGCCTGGGCTCAATCCCTAGTACTACAAACAAACAAATGAATAAGTAGACTGGAGACCAATTTACTAAATATCTTTCAGTTGTCTGTTTCTTTTCTTTCTCTGTGAATGTCTTAGTTTGTTTTTTTTTTTTTTTTTTTTTTTTTTTTTAAGGGTGGGCATATTAATCATGTTTACTTCTTAGCCTTTTTTCACCTTCAAATTTCTGGAGAAATATTTGTTCAATAGAAAATAAATTCGACCTGGTTTGTAAGAAGTGACAAAACTACAACTCTGGATATTTTTTATAGTGTATTATTTCAGTTTTTAGTTTTTGCTTTTGCTTTTTTTTCCTTTTTGGCACATATACAGTGGATGCCTGGGCAGCAGTCAAACTCAATATGAAATGAAATCCATGCTACCCACCAATGTGGCTATAAAACACTAATGTAGAGCACTGGAAAAGTTTGTAAATACATTCACATTACACATGCAACTCAGACCATTGTTAAGGTAGAAACTGCAAGTTGTTATGATTTATCTAATATTTTCCCTATGATATACAAAACTGTGACAATTTACAAACTAAAGGTAGTAGCACAGAGTTTTGTATTAGAAATAAAAAAGGACATATCTCAATTAAATATCAAGTAACACATGTAAGTTAATATTACATATTACAACATATACAAACATTATTAAGTACAGAATTCTAGTCATATGTTTTAGAGCTCTTAAATTTCCTATTTGCAATTAAGTCCATCTATCTACTAACATATTCAATTTTTTCATTAACTCATTCAACACAGATTGATTGAACATTCTTTACGTACTAGCAAAATGCTGCTACATAAGACATTTATACAAGCATGTGTAAGACATAATCAAGATCCTATGTGGTGGTTTCAAAATAAGTCCATACGTTATTTTATATTTTTCTCTGTAAAAGAGCTTAAAACCCTACTTCTTGAGTTGGGGAAGGTCACACTCATGTCTAACAATGGAATATGGCAAAAGTAACATCATATGTCTTCTAAGGCTAATCATAAGATATATCATAGCTTGCTCCTCACTTTCTTCTATTACCTGCACAGGAGGAAGATACCTGCCATGCTTCCATGACATCCAATAAGCCTCATGGAGATGTCATAATGGGGAGGAATTGAGGCTTTCAGCCAGAATCTGTGTGAAGAAGTCATGTAGAACTGATACCTCCAGTTAGTCTCAGGTAAGACTTCCCATAATGTAGCTCCAGCCAATGTCTTAACTACAACATGGAAAAGTACAAGCTAGAGCCTACCTAGCTAAGCTGCTCTAACATTTTTGACCCTCAGAATCATTTGAGAAAATAAATATCTGTTGCTCTAAGCTACTAGGTTTGGGGGAAATTTGTCATACATTGTTAAGAGGTCTCCACAGAATGAGGATTATTTTCTCAAGTTATTCTCTGCAACCCTTAATTATACAGGGAAAAGTTATTACTTGAATTACAGCCTCAGTACACCTCAGTTATAACTTACCCTTCTTGCTAAGTGAATGAAGGGATTGTTCATCAAGGTTTTTGACTTGGCTGCTGACATTTTACTGGCAGAACCTGGAAGAACATGTCTGGGATTGGAACCTAAAAGTAGTAGACCATGAAGGATGGATTATAAAACTGGAGGAAAGGATAAGGGAATCCTTGTCCTGCTTCATGATTTAACATGTTAGCAAGAAAGCCTGCACCCCACCCCAGTATGTTGTTAGAATGGCACTTGATGTTTGGAAACAGTGAAGGCCTACTGAACATGAGGTAGAAATTTCAGAATTGCTGTAACAGTTTAGAGGAGGAGTTAAATAGTTCTGAGAAGGGTGATCTATTAGTATGGACTTATTATTTCAGAACTCTCAAGAAAATCTGCCGGTTGATTATATTCCCAAAACTCTGTTCATTAAAGTAAGAAGGAATCTGCCAGCGAGAGTAGTATCTTCACTGCTCACAGGTGCTGCTATGGGTCTGGAAACCTCAATGGGAGCAGAAATGTAGGACTCCAGAATTTCAGAGATGGGATAGCACTATTCAACTACTTAGATGAAACAGACATTATCACATAATGGGAAACAATGGGGCTTACAGAGACCTTTTGCAAAGATTATGGATTTCCAAAGGTTAAGATAAACAGACAGGCAAGGAGACTACTGCATGATTTATGAAACAAAAAACATTAAGAATAGGTGAATATAGTTGTATGTTAGCCAATACAACTATAAATCACAAGGCTTTGGGCTGGGGATATACCTCAGTGGCACAGCACCTGCTGGCAAGCATGAGGTCGTGAGTTCGATTCTCAGTACAAAAAAAAAAAAATTGTCCTGTTACTATACCTGAACTAGTTCTTAGAGTCTATTGATTAGAAGGAAATATATGTTTATTTGTGAAAAGTCTCTGCAATGCAAATATATGCAATCACAATTCTTCTAATGCTTCCCTAAAAGAACTTATTTTCTAAAGTAACATACAGAAGGAAGGAGAATACCCAGATTTTTAAGGAGCTGTTCAATAATGAGACACAAAACGGGCCCATGATCCCTCTGTTATAGGTTGGCACATGGCAAGAAGGTAATGGAGTGGATGAGGTTTATCCCACCATAACAACAGGTTTACAGTTTCACCCTGTGTTTTTTCCTGAGCTACTTGAAGCATGATATGCATGGATATACTGAGAAATATGTGTTTCTGAAACTTTGGGGAAAGTCTCATTATGATAAGACTGAAAAGGACAAGCAAGATACTGAAACTCTCCCCAGCTCCACCAAGGTAGTAAATTATAAACTACAGTCCATCTTAGCTGATGGCTGATGTTAGTGTCTCCCTAAAATACTTAAGAAAATAGGAAGTGGTAATCCTCATCAATTCCCATTTAATTCAAAGTCTGGCCCTTGTGAAATGCAGACAGATTACGGAAGATGATGCTCAACTCTACAGACTTAACCAACTGGCAGCTTCAATCAGTCAATGTGCTGGAGGTTGAATTTTCATAAGAACAGATTAAAACATCCTCTAAAATTTGATACAGCTATCAAGGGAGCATATGGCCTTCTTTGAATGGTCACTAAGAACGGGGATCAAAAGTTGTTTCCGTTCACCTACAATAAATTGCAAAGTGTATGCATGGTCTTGTTAGAGTTTACTAATTTTCCTTTCTCAGTTATAAGAGTCATAAGGGACTTTTTATAACCTTGACATTCTGCAGAACATGATGCTGGTCTACATTTTGGGATATTACCTCCAAGATAGTATCATCCTATACTTCTTTCTACTAAAAAAGAGAAGGACATATTATATTTGGAAAAACCTTTGCCATACTTTGAATATTCCAAAGAGGGCATATGCCACAATGAAAATATTGCTGAACTCATTTATTGGGTGATATGAAAAATTTCCAGTTTTGAGCTGCGTCCAGAACAAGGGAGGCCTTTGTAACATGTTCTGGCTCTGAAGCAACTGGCCCTGCACAGGGGCCTCATGACTCAGAATATCCAATGTTGCCAGAAGTCTCCATAATAGATCCTAATAATGTGTAGAATCTCTCCCAAGCATCAAATTGAGACACAGTGCAGCCCCCTAGGTTTCTAGAGCAAGGCCATTCCATCTGAGGTGGAGAATTATTCCTTGTTTCAGAAAGCAGCTCCTCGGGGATTTATATCATCAAGATAACTCCAAACCCCATTCCTCCTCAGAGACACTAACTTCACAATAAAATAGAATCTGAAAGGTCTTTATGAGAAATTTAGAAAGCAGTGAGGAAATCGCAGTACACCAGACAAACACAAAACCACGAACAAAGCCATAAACCATTGTACTTCACCAACTATCGTCTTCTTACCATACACCCCAAAGCCGTCAGAACTTGGCACAATCAGCAGAAAACAACCAATCTGAACCTTGTCCTTCAGAATGAGGCAGAAGACTATGTGGAGAAAAGAGTGGAAAGAAACATTGCAGATTTTCATGGGGCTGCCCAACGGATTGGTTTATGTCTTGCTTAATTTAGAACACTAAAGGAGACCCAGCTTATTTAGGAAATGGAAGAGAATGAAAGAACAAGGGAGAGCTCAGTGGTTTACTGCTGCTTCAGAGAACTTACAGCATCTCTGGCAGCTTTAAGACAGGTCATTTAATATTAATGAGGGAAACAAAAAATAAAAGTTTATGGGATTTATGGAGCAATTTATGGGATTCCAAAAAAGTAAAGAGAGAAATAAAAGAGGTAGAGAGTTTGTCTGAGGAAATAGTATTGATTTCCTGATATGTCAATTTAAAAAAAGGGATACCCATATTTATGAAGCTCAGAGGATCCCAACTAGAATGAACTCAAAGTTCCACATCAAGATATATCATAATCTAATTGTGAAAAATATAATCTGTTAGAGGCAAATAGAAAATCTTGAAAACACCAAAAGAAAAGTGACTTACCATGTAAAAAGGAGCTCCCATAAGACTATCAGAGGATTTCTGTTATGGTTTGCATCTAAATGTCTCCTGTAACACTCATGCACTCATAGGTGGGGTTTTCAGAGGTGGCTGGATCTAGGATGTGTGAATATGGATTAAGGGTATGTGATTACTAAATTAATCTACAGATTGCTTTTGCATAGTTTTGCATGAGCTAAAGGGAAGGTCCATTCTGGGTGTGGGTGGTACTACTAATAGGTTTGCACCCTGCATGGAATAAAAAGAAAGATGGAAGGCAGGCTTGCTGCCTCCTGCCAGCCATGTTGTGAATGGTTTCTCCTCTGCCATGCCACCTGCCTTGGAACCAGCTGACTCAAGACTGAAACCTCTATGAACTGTGAGGCAAAATAACCTTTCCTCCTTTAACTTGTAGGTGAGGGAATTTTGTCCAGCAATGAGAAAAGTAGCTAATACAATTTCTTAGCAAAAACGTTATAGGCCAGAGGGGAAGGGGATGATAAATTTATTCAAAGTGCTGAAAGAAGCAGCAAACTGCTAAGCAAGAATACTATGCTCTCCCTCATACATACTGTGTCTCTCCCCCGGCCCCACACACTCACACCAATTATTACTACATCCAGCACAATTATCCTTTAAAAAATGAAGGAAAAGTAAAGATCTTCTCAGAGTACAAATTTAAGGTCATTCACCACTACTAGACCTACCTCACAAAAAATGCTGAAGGGAGTATTTCAGGTTAGAATGAAAAATGCTAGACAGTAACATGGAAGCATATAAAAATATAAAATTCTCTGATAAAAGTACATATAAATACAAACACAGAATCTTGTAATGCTATAATGGTGATGTATAAATCATTATTATTTGTTATTATTATTTGATTTAAAATATGAAAGTATATAAAAGAACTACAACTTTGTGACTATGTTAATGAATATAAAATACAAAAATATGTAGTTTGTGACATCAAAAATAAACTGGTGGGTAGAGATAAAAGAATTAAAGTTCTTATATTCAAGTGAAATTGTTTTTAAATAGGTTGTGATAGCTATCTGTTTTATTTAATCTCAATGATATTCAAAAATAAAATACCTATAGAAGATACACAAAAGAAAACAAGAAAGAAAGCAAAGCTTGTCACTAGTGAATTTTTTTAACCAATGAAACACAGAAGAAAAACAAAAGGAGGGACAAAATAACTCATATAGAAAATAATTAATAAAATGTTAATAGAAAGTCTTTCCCAATAAGTAATTACTTAAGTGTAAATGGATTAAACTCCAAGAAAAAGACAGAGTGAATGAATTTAAAAATAATATCTAAGTATATGCTGTTCTCAGGAGACTCACTTCAAATTTAAAGATACAAGTTGCTGAAAAGATGAAAGAAGATAATCACTGTACATAGTGACACAGTACAAAAGACAGCAGAAGTGGTCATATTTATATCAGGTATAGTCAGAAAGGAAATGTCTACATGGACCAAATATACACAAAGAAAATCCCTTACCCCTACAGCAGAATATATACTCACCTCAAGCAAACGTGGATTTTCTCCAGAGTAAATCATGTTAGGTCACAAAACACATCTTAACAAATTTAAGAAAATTGATATTACACCAATATATTTTCTGAATAAAATGGTCAGCAGCACAAGCAAAACTGAAAAATTCAGTTTTGAATTTTCATATACGTATAAATAAAGCAACATATACTTGAACAACTAGTGGATCAAATAAATCACAAGAGAAACTAGAATATATTATGAGACAAAAGAAAATACGAACATAACAAATCAACACTTAAGTAGCGAAAACAGTGCTAGAATGGAAGTTTGTAGTAGCAAAACTCTACATTAAGATAGATCTCAAAAAAACAATAACTTTACCTAAAGTAACTAGACAAAGTAGACTAAACCTAAATAGAAAAGGATGAAGAAAATAGAAAAGCTTCAAACAGAAATAAATAAAGGAAATTTTAATGGAAGTGAGACTAGTATTTTTTTTAAAGATAACAAAATTGAGACCCTAAGGAAAAAAAGAAGTTTCAAATAGCAAAAATTGAAAAAGAGGAAACATTAAAATTCATGATACCATACAGACAAAATGAATCTGGCAGAGTGTGACTGTCCCCTCCAAAACTTAACAGCCACTGTGTAGGACAGCATTTGGAGCTGAGACCTCTAAGAAGTAATTAGCCCTTGGAGGCTGCTAGTGCTGTAGGTCAACTCCCTGGGAGTAGCCTTGTTATACAAGTGAGCTCTCTCTCACACTTATATTCTCTGCCATGTGGTTCTCTCTGCTGTATTATGATGCAGGGGAAAGCACTAGAACCTGGTACCTAGATAATAGACTTCCCAGCTGTTAGAACTGTGAGGAATAAATTCTTTTGTATAGTTCCCAGTCTGTGGTATTCAGTGATAGCTGGAGAACGTGGGCTGAAGATCCTAAGAGACTCCTATGAAAAGGTACATGTTAACAACTGGAAAGCACAGAAGAAATGGGTAAGTTGCTAGAAACCTAAAACCTACCTACCTAAGTCATGAAGAAAATATCTGAAAATAATTTGGTGAACAGATTGAATAATTAATACCCCCAAATACTTCACCCAGTAGCTTCACTGGAGAATTCTATTAAAAATTTAAATTTCCATTCTGCAATCTATTTTACTCCTGTGCATGTTATAAACTCCATATACAGTTTTGTTTAAACTGGTTTTTTTAGGTCTTTGGTGAAGGCACTGGTGTTGAACAAAACCGCTCTGCTCTGTTCACCTGGTCTGAACCAAAACATCTTCAGCTCTGCTGCAGCTCTGGCAGCTATGCAATTTATAGTCACCCAGTAGATATTTGTCTGCAAATTTTATAAATTTCTACATGTACAGTTTGATGTTTTAACATCTAGGCAAATGTACAATGCGGGTAGGGGCTGTAAGAATTTCTGAAGGTCTTTCTCAGTATAACTTCCTCCCTTCTGCTCTGTAAATTCCAGGTATGTGAAACAAACAAACAAACACGAAACTCAACTGTAACTCCAAAGTGATATAGAAATAATTACTGTTTATTAAAAAATAAAGAGTTAACTCTGATCTTTCTCAAACTTTTTCAAAATATGAAGAGGACAGAACACTTCCAAACTCATTTTGGAGTATTACCTTAGTATCAGATGAAGATAATGTGACAAAGGAAACAACAGGCCAATATCCCTGATAATTATTGTTATAAAAATCCTCCATAAAAGTCATAAAAAACAACTAGCAAAGTGAATTTAATACCATGTTAAAACAATTTTACATTATTTCTGAGTTTTATTTACTTTTGGAATTCAAGGAAGGTTCAGCATAACAAAATCAAGTAGAGAGGTAGACCACATTAACAGAATAAAGGACAAAAACCACATGATAATCTCAACTGACACAGAAACACTGGACAAAATTCAACAGTCTTTCATAGCAAAAGCAACAAAGTATGTATATGTGCTGAAGTAAATTACCTCAAGATTATAAAAGCCTTATTTGAAAAGTTCAGCTTAACACACTCAATAGTGGAAAATTTAATGGTGTCCACTAATGTCAGGAATAAAGAAAGGCCATCCACTTTTTTCATATATCTACAACAGAGTAGCAGAATAGATAGAGCAATTAAATAAGAAAAATATATAAAAGCTATCTAAATAGGAAAGAAAGAAGTAAAATTAAAGATTCTACTAAAGGAAAAATAATATCCTAAGGATTCCATCAACAAGAAAAAACAACACTGGTGGAATTAATGAACAAAGTTGGAATTAATGAGCAATGTTTACAAAGTCACAGAGTATAAAATCAATACATTGCTTTTATTTGCACTAAGAAAAATCCAAAAAGAAAATTAATAAGACATTTCCATTTTCTATAGCATTGAAAAGAAATTGTTTAGGATTAAATCTAACTAAGGAAGTAAAAAAAAACTTCTATAGTGAAAAGTATAAAACTACTGAAAGAAATTAGAAAAGACACAATGTCTTAGCTCCTCTTCACTTAGACACAATACCCAATACTCACAACTTACAGGAGGAAAGGTTTATGTTGGCTTATAGTTTATAGTTTCAGTCCATAGTCTGTTGACTCCAAGGCAGAGCAGTAGGGCACAGATACAGTGCAGAGAATTGATCAAGGAGGAGGAAGGGAGATAGACCCTTCAAGGTCATGCCCCCAGTGACCTACCTCCTCCCAACATCCTATTTAGCTAGTTCATCAGTGAACTAATCTGCTGATAAATATCACAAACCTCTGATTGAATTTCCTCCCAAAAGCCCCACCTATGAGCACATGAGGCTTTGTGGGGATGTTTAGATATGAGTCATAACACACAATTAAATTTAAAGATATTCTGAGTGCACCAATTAAAAGACTCAATATTGTTTAAATGTCTATATATGATGAGATTGATAGATTCAATGCAATCTTTATCTAAATCCCCCTTTTTTTCAAAGATAGAAACAATCTTAAAATTCACATGGAACCTCAAAGAAGCACAAGCAGCCAAGACAATATTTTTAAAAAAGCAAAAGTGCGGCATCACATTTTCTTATTACAAAACATATTATAATGTTAAAATTATCAAAATAGTATGGTAGTGACATAAATATTATCACCATATAACCTATCACGTCTGGGTATAGATCCAAAAGAATTAAACAGCAATCTTAAAGACATCTTTACTTGCTCATTTTCATTTCAGCATCATTCACAATAACAATTTAAATGTCCATTGATAGATGAGTAGATTGGTGTATGTATATACCTAGCTTTAAAAAGGAAATACTTTTACCTGGTATAACATAGATGAACCTTAAGAACATTATGCTAAGTGAATTATGCCAGTCACAGAAAAACAAATACTGTGTAAATCCACTTACATGGGTTTCTAAGGAGCCAGTCTTAGAAGGTAGAGGATGGTTGCCAGAGTATAGGGGATAGAGATACAGGGCAGTTATTGCTGAGCTTCAACTTTGCAAGATGGAAAATTTCTGGAGATCTGTTATACAACAACTTACACATAGTTATCACTACTATACACTTAAAATAGTTAAGATGGCTAATTTTATATTATGTTTTTTGCATAATGAAAACATAGCACTGGGCATGCTACTGGGCTTTAGAAGAAAATAAGCACCTGAACTAGATGGGACAGGAAATGATTATGTGTAACAAGATCTGTCTGTCAAGAAGTCAATATTATTAAACCTATATTATAATTGTGCTTTAGCATAACATACATCCTTTATGTAACATTCATCCTTTATGTAATAGAAATTGTATATTAAAATTGGGTTCAGTGTAAGCTGAGAGCAGATCCTCATGATAGCCACTGTATGGAGAGTTCTCCATTTTCTCACAGTCACAGCTTTGGGTGTATGGTGGGGGAGGGAAGTTGCCTATGACGTGCTGGAGAAAGACAAATATGAATCTGTCTCATGAACATGTCAGTTCAAGATATTAGCATAAGATGGAAATGTACTGTTTCTACACTATAACCTAACTCATATTTGACAGAAAGACCATGGAAAGGTGAAATCTTCCAAACATTTAGAACATGGGTAGATCTGAATGATAAGCACTGTCATGTTTCAAATTTGTGTGGAGACAGAAATGTCTGAGATGAGGATCGACTCTTAAACACTGAAGTAAAGTCTGAATTAGTCAAGTATGTGGAAGACCAGGGATAAGATATATGGGGGGGTGTCACTAAATAAAGTGGACTCAAAATACATGGAATTTTGTATCCCATACCAACACTCACCAAAGATGACCTATCCCAGTGGCAGCATTAGCTAGAAGATAGAGAATAGCTTGTCTAGCAGATGTCAGTAAGCCACTACCCAGAGCTACCCCACTGGTACAAATTTTGGTGCAGTATTTTCTGATAGCATGAGCCTAGAAGAAAGGACTCCCTTTTTCAAAGGATGCTACTGTTGGTAATGAAGACTACAGAGACCAACTCCGACTCTTAAGGCCATATATCCAAGAAAACACCACCCATGTGATATTAAGTTGATTTTATGTATCTTGTTTACCACATCAACATTGCCTCAGACTCAAAGGATCTACATGGGGACACAGAAAGCATGAATCATGAGATCCACTGATTTATCATAAATAAGAATACTCTGGAGCAGCCAGCCTGACAGAACATTGAAACAGCTTTTTACAGGTAAGGCTAATACTCCATCTTGGATATGACATCATTCATTGGTAGAGTATTGTCCTTCAAGATACGGGATATGCATTGAATCAAAAGTCATTAAATGTTTGTGTCCCTTATATAGATAGAAAACATGCAATCAAGGACTAATTAAGGTAGGAGTGGCTATTCTTGCCATCAGTCACTGATGGTAATTTGTGATTTCTATCTCTACATCAGGCTCTGTTATAAGTTCTATTCCTAAAATGGGAGGTTTAAGCTGGGCATAGTGGTGCATACCT